GGAAACATGGATTAAACCACTCTTTATACCATTATAATGCATTTTAATCCCTTTTTAAACTTAAGGGTTATTTATCAGCATCCATGAAGAACGTTTAACCCCCACAGAACTTTTTCTACCAAGGTTCAGTGAAATAAGCTTCAGATTTAGCTTGCATCTAAATTTCATAGATGTAAACACCTCACTTTTAGTGTTAGTTATATTTGTGATTTTTTTAATGTAATTCCTAATCTTGGAAGGGCAAAGAACTTAATTCAGTTCTAGTTTATTGGTAAAGTGCTTGTCACAATAGTCATCGTTCCAAAGCAGGCTTACAAAAGGTGTGCATTGTTACTTTACATTCAAAATCAACAAGTACAGAGTCTTCAATATGCTTTGCTAGTATTTTATGCAATTTGAAGTCTGAGAGGGCAGACAGTTTGTACTTAAGCATGGCATTGCCATCAAATTAGCCAATATTGATAGCCTTAAAATGGACAGTTCACCCAAAAAATGAAAATGTACAATTTACTCACCTCAACTGTATGCAAACGCTTACGAGTTTCCTTTTTCTGTTGAACACACATGAAGATATTTTGAAAATGTTAGAAACATGTAACCACTGACTTCCATTTGGAGGTCATCTGTTAACCATTTTTTAACCTGTTAGAATTAGTAGCAAATATACCGAACAGTAAGCAGAAATGAGCTTCTCCTATTCTCCTATTTTTGTTTACCCCATACCTGTTTGCATCCTTCAAATTTAAACTTAAGAAAAACACTGAGTGGTTCTTCAGGAAACCCCCTTTATTTCTGAAGTGTCTCGTAATTGATTCCCCAATCACAAATGCCACATACCGCACGAACACGTCCTACTGTGCTTTGTTGGTGTTTTCCTGTGCAATAACCTTGCCGATCTGTTTGATTTGGGCCGATTCATCAGCCTCTGAGCAGTCGCGCTGTGGGGCAGAGAGCGCTGTAGAAGGGGAGGAGGAGGGATGGAGTTGTCCCGCTACACTGGACCCATCTGCCCGATGTCTTCCCCTGCTGCGGAGCATGATGTTGCTCCATGACTCGATGGCTCCACCATGGTGCTGACCATTATGCTGCTGCTTTATTGAACTGTGCCCCAGAAGCTCCTCAGCAGAGACCGCATTGATTTCAGAGCAACTGAGCCTGCTCCCCTTCCCTTCGCCACATTTCTACATGTCATGTCATTGCGGAGGTTTTGTCACTTCAGCTTTGAAGATCAAATGATGAATAATGTAATATTTATTCATTGGTTTACATCAAAAAGTCTTTTACACAAAATCCAAACATCCCTTGTTAAAAAATGCTGCCTTAAATTTTTTAGCTGAATCAAATAAACTGACAAAAAATATGAAGTTAATCTTTGCATGACTTAAAAACTTTTAGATTGTGTGATCTTGACTTGTAATTAAATGTTTACAGAGTGATTGAATGAAAATAAAAACAATATGTAACACTTATTTTCAAAATATTTCATCTTTAGGTGTTAATATTATATTTAATATTTAAATATATGTTAATATATGTTTAAATATGTTAATATTTAATTCTGATATTTAAAAATATGCGTTCATTGGCAAGTCAACTTCTATTTTAAGATTGCAAGAAAAAACAAAAAAATACACCTACTCAAAGTTTTGGAAATTAAAAAAAATATATATATTTATATATTTATTTTTAATTTATGTAACTGCAAAGAAGGGTGCCACTTTTCTCTGTAATATAATTTACGAGAACTGATATAAGACCTGTGATCAGATTACAAAACAAAAAATCTGAGTCAAATCAAACAAATTCACCAAAAAAAGATTTGTTTGCATTCTGTGATCACACATTCTGCAAACAACACTAAAATGACAGTACAGTACACCAGGCTCCAGTTGATTTGACCGCTCTATTTTTCAGTCTGAGCTTCTGTCACTTTCTGCTCTTCTACCTATCCTCCACCTCCTGCCAGCAGTTAATGTGACTCCTCCACACCCTCTGTCCGCTCCTCGTCTCCCACCTGGCATTTTCCGGGCAGTAGGTCTAGTGAAATTCCTGCATCCCTATTGCCAGCCGCAAGGCGGTAACCACTGGGGTTTCTGAGAGTCTTCCCACCCCCAGCATACACACACACACATACACACACAGCCTGTCCCATTCCAGTCTGAAACTCTGGCAGACTCTACATTCTTTTCAGCAGTATTGGTTCCCCATGGTAACCAGGAGAGCGGCAAGTGGTGACCTGTCATGTTTATGTCGAAAATAGACACTGTCTGTAGTGTTTTAAAGAAATATTCCCAATTCAACTCTATGATATATAACAGCGCATCAAAAACACAAGCAAAAAAATCATAAAAATAAAAATGTATTAAAAAAAACAATAGAATTTAGTCAAATAGTCTATAGAAATCTCAAGAAACTAAAAATCACTCCCTGAAGTCAATATATATAATTTTTGAGTTATTTTTTGACAATGTAATCAGTTACTTTTTAATTAGATTAATTAGCTTTTAAAAAATAAATTGCTAAATTAAAATTAAAGTACTCACAATGAATGACGCAGTCAATGAGAAATGAGAAACTGTGTTTATTATTTTGAACGCATTGAAGAAAAGGAAAAGGGGATTTTAGTCTCAATGGACAGTGATTTTACTAAAGACAAATAGTTCGAAGGTAGCATACACATTGATTTAAACTTTCAATAATCTGTATATGCGGCATGTATAGCTCTGGGGTAAGGAAGTTCTCAGATAACATTATCCTAAAATATAATTTTTTTTAATGTTTTTTTAAGGTAAATGTAGGTGAAGGTTATACAGTGTTGTTAATTGCAAAGCTCCTCTATTAAAAAAGAAAGAAAAAAAAATCATGTTCTGAAAGAGATCAGGCCTCAGCCAGGTCAGAAAAAGTTATTCAAAAGTAACGTAATGCACTACTTACGATAAGTAAGCAACTAGTTTTTTGGGAGTAACTCGATATTGTAATGCATTACTTTCAAAAGTAACTTTCCCCCAACACTGCATGTTGATAATGAGTATATATATGAGTATATGTATATATGTATGTATTTTATATATATATATATATATATATATACACACACACATACTGTCAAACAATAAATTGTAACAAAATATATTTGAACTCACATGTATTTTTTGTGTATATGCATAAATATATTGTATAAAATGTTTTTTTGTGTTAATAAATTATTTATACATTTTGTATATGTGAAGTATGTGTATTTATATATACACATAAATATGTGTATATTATGTAAATGCAAACTTTTATATTGGATGCGATTAATCATAATTAATAATTTCACAGCATATATATATATTTTTAATGTAAATTACCTTTACATTTCCCAAACCTCTATAAATGTTGTTTTCTCTTATGAATAACAAATGTATTTTGAAGAATTTGTGAAATCAATCAATTGAGGATCCCCTCTGATTTACATAGAATGTATTTATAAATATTTGTCCTTGTATATTAGTTCATGCTGTTTAAATGGTGAAAATCTTTATTTTAGGGTAAATTATCGGTTAACAAGACAGTTTAATAAAAGGAAAAAACTCAGTTAAATGAGTGCATAGTAAAATTCTCTTTCAATATATGCAGCATCATTTACCCTCTATCAAAAAAAAATTGGATGTAGCATGGTCTAAATTTAAAGAGAGAAAATGTGCAATTTGTTTTTTTGAGTGGAAAGGGTTTAAGACAGTTTGTCAAGTTCTTCTAAGCATACAGTATACACAAGCACACACACAAGTACACACACACACACACACACACTCACACATATGCAGACGGGTCTTGTGTTTACTCTCCTAATTGGAGGGGAGTGTTCCAGTTGACAGACAAGCCCTTAGAGATACACAACTGTGGAAAAAAAAAAGCCAGCTGCCAGCCTGTGGCTGGAAGAGTAGCTGAGTACAGGCTGGAGCCCGGACAAGAACATGGCAGGAACGTGATGAGAACGTAATGGAAACATCCAACTGACAGAATTATGAGAGGAGTCCCAACAGACACTTTCTCAAAAGAGATATAAACAGAGAGCAACTGACACTAAGAAAAGAAACCGAAAGAAAATACGTGTAAGAGAAGATGGTCTTAAAAATGCATCAGCATAAAAGCTAAGCATGATTTAAAAGAGAAGTGGGGAGAGAGATGCGTGTGAACTGGCAGTGTATGAGACAGCAAGACGGTACAATTTGGAGGCTGATATTGGTGTATGAACAAGAATGCCAGAATGTCACTCAAAACAAAGTGGGGTTTGGACGGGGCAAAAGCAAGGAATGCTCACCCCATATGGGGGCTCGTCCTCGACTCACATGCCTTTCAGACTGGGTGCAGGGTTAATTATATCACATAATTAAAGACTCGCTAATGTTAGCGTGCATATTCAGGGAAGGGTGCTCAAAAGTTGGCTGAGTGACAAAATAAAAACTTGATTGTTATATCACTTCTTAAAGGGATAGTTCACTCAAAACTTGTCACCAATTTTTTGTGCAGCAATGCCAAAGGAATTTAAACATTTCCTTTGACAAACTATTGTTTTCTTATTGTGAATAACTTTTATGTCCATTTCTTAAGAACATTTTGTCTAATTAAAAGTGTTTATGGATGTTCAGGGTTCCACGTCTATAAGATGTTTTAATTTTCACCACAATGCCATTTCAAAAGTGTATGACTTCATTTCTTCAACATATACTTTAAAAATTATTAAATAAAACACTTCCACTCTTTCTGCCCGTTCAGGTGATTAAAAAATGGACAAAAACACTGAGGCAGTTTCCAAAATAACTTCCGTTGAAAAAATAATAATAATATGAGGGTGTCAAAATTTCCATTTCTGAAGGTGAACTATCTGTCAATTCAGTTTGTATTGAATGTTTCAATAAGAGCCTATTTGAATGTATATCTACCATCCTTTCATGTGCATTTAACTCATGTTTGTAGCACTGCGAGTCTACAAGCGATGCATAAACAGACACACCTTTACCTGGAAGGCAAAAAAAATGGCTACGATCATAAATAGCCATTGCTTGTGCCTGTTTGGTGAATTTATTATGGGGATTTCACAGCCAACCTCACAATAGCATGTTTCCTAAATGTGATCTTAGGGCCTTGCAGACTACAAGAAAGGCATCCAAGCATTTAGCACATAAAGCCTGAATAAATCCGACCCTCTCTGTTCCTTTGCCTTTGAACTGTGAGAGGCAAAAGAAGCGAAGCCCACACTGCAGGGCAGGATCCACCGCACAACACACACCTCACACCTTGCACGCTTCACAAAATATAGATCTTCCTTTGCGGAATATGTTCAATTGGAAAGGTTGTTCATTTGGAGCAATTGCACATCTGAGTGTAGATCTTACACCAAGTTCACCTTGAGGCCCTTTGTATTGTGTGTGTGTGTGTGTGTGTGTGTGTGTGTGTGTGTGTGTGTGTGTGTGTGTGTGTGTGTGTGTGTGTGTGTGTGTGTGTGTGTGTGTGTGTGTGTGTGTATGAAAGTGAGTGAGAGCAAGAGCGCAGAGAGAAAAGCATGTTTATGCATGACTGAAAGAACGTTTAGTGTCCCCTTGTGTGTACTTGTTTGTCCTTGTCAGTTTGGTGGAGGGCTTACTTTGCCTCATATTGATGACTTGAAGGGAAGGATGGCTTTTAATTGAATCCATTTGTTTGCTGCTTGGCCCCTGTGCAAACGGCAGACAAACAATTACAGTAGTGATTAATAACCGTTAAATATTTCCACAAGATGCTAAATGCGTCATAAATATGCATTATGTCCCGATTTTAAGCCCTTTTTTTGTACAAGAAACATTAAAATGACAAAAATGTAAGGTTAGGATTATCAAATGAAAAAAAATTTTTTAAATAGGTTGACCATGTTTCAACATCATTTTTAAAACATTTTTAAAATCAGCTTAAAGTTGAAATTAGCTGTAAAGTTAAGCAGATTTTTTTATTCTAATTTAAAGCAGCATCTTGATTTATCTAAATTAAGTGTAAACAATTAAACAGACATGATACACTACTTTCTCAGTGTGAGTAGTTGAACTGAGGAATTTTAATGATTTTTTTCTCTCTCACACATACACTCTCTTCTTCTCTTTATCCCCAGTCTGTTTCTATATGTAGATCTCTGTAACCTGAGTGATCTCTTGAAATGTACTGTGCAATCATCCTCTGTTTCCCCCCACCCTTCCAATCTGACATCCTTATTTTCTCGGACCGTGACGCGTAACATTTAACCCCATTTAAGTTTCCTGTACCTTACGGGAAGGAAATTATGAATGTCAATAAAGATCAAACGAGCTCCTTTATTCATAGTAATTACTCTGTGCAAATATACCTTCACATTCAAGTGTTCAAGCTCTCATCAAAAATGACTCTGTTATCGCATTTAAACACTGTCACAATTATGTCAAATCAGAGAAACATTTAGAGGAATATTATAGCGGGTTCATTTGTAATCCATCATGTTAAATTACGTCCATTCAACCATGGCTGTAGTTTTGATGTAATCTTCACATCTCAATAGATTATAAAAGAAAAACAGGTAACTCACCGGTCAGACAAAATAATAAAAGAAAATCCTCTTTTTTTGGTTTTGTTTTTCATCAATCAAACAAAGTGCAAAATAACTGAAAAGACACTAAAGACGCTCTAATCTAAAACTGTAAAGAAACTGATCCTCTCCAACTGTGCTCCTCCAAACATTCACACAAGATAACATCAGATGATGTCCACTTTGCTTTTGCCCACCAGAGCTTGCAAAACATTTGGACCTGCAGGGGAGACAGAAAGAAAGAAAGATTAGGGGTTGATGCAAGCATTTAATGCTGTCAAGTAGACCAATAAATACTGTAAGCATTTTTGTATTGTAACAAATAATTGCTTTTGTTCTGAATAATAATACAATAATTATACATTTTCAGTTATTATATTTTAGACTTATTTGTGTGTTTTATTGGGTAATTGTAGTTTGTGTTTAAAAATAAATGTCTAAACAAAATAGTTAATTGGAAAATACTATTGATGCATGCATTATAACGAAAAAAAGGTTTATGATTGGGAACTCGCCACTCAAGCAGAGTGGAGATTAAAGGGAAAGGGTGTCATTTACTGGGATTGCGCTGTTGTGGCCACAGGCGCGAACACGCATTGCTCTTTTTCACTTTGACAAACCACAATTCCTTTAAAGATGAGAGTTCCCTCCGGACGCGACGGCGTTTAGAATTTGATAAATAATTTAGCAGTTTAAACAGCGAGAGGCAACGCTGGGCGAGATCCCGGCGATAAACGCGCACGGAGCTCTGGTGGATGAAACATCGTTTATTTATCATAGCTGTGACTTGCGTGTTACTAAATAAATTACACACTGAGCGTTGGTATAATGTGAAACACACGCGCTCCCGTATTCTAACTGCGGATCTCAACTTTTCAAGATGTGAAGTGCTCAATTGATATTTGTTTTAATCCGAAATGAACCGCCGCAAATCCTAATAATTTATGTTGTTTATTTAGGTGTCCTCTCAATGTACCCAGAACAATTATAATGTTGTTTAATCCTTGACATGTGGAGAGCTGCGGTTTCATAATGTGATACTTGAACGAGCGCGTTTAGAGGAGAAACGGCACTTTGGCTTGAAAGATTCATTTTTCATTCTCTGCGTAACACAAAGAACCGCAAAAAGCGCTTGCAGTGAAAGTCATTGTTTACAGATTTTTAAAAACGGTGGCAGGTGGATGTGGGAAAATCTTAACAGGTAAATCACCAGGATAATGGTGGCTGTCATCGTCTGCAGGGCATTCCACAATAGCAGGTGCACAACTGAAGCTTTCTATCTTGTCTTGAAGAGTTGAAGTTTTTTTCCCTCTCTCTGTGTGTATCTGTAACCCAGCGAAAGAGCACAGTCGATTAATAAGATGCCATTCCTAGATCTTTGTATCGCATAAAAGAATTGTTCTATGAATACAGTTGTACTTTTTCCAGAAACACAATATAGATCGATTCTAGCTGGGGTGAATTTCTTCCCTCATTTTCAGTGAACAGACGGAAGCATTCAGCGTAAATAAGGGTCAAAGAAAAATAACTTTAACGCTAAATGACTAATTAAATCTAGCATCATAACACTTGTAAAATAACTGTTTAAATATTTTCCTGTTTAGTACCCTATAATAAACAATAATAATGAATAATACTAATTCTACAAATACTAATAATATATTTATTGGGCTATTATCATATTTTTATTGTTACTGTTGCTGTTAGCACTATTTTTCTTTAGTTTTGATATGTCTGTCATTTTGTAGAAATATACTGAATTACAGCAAAATACTCTAACCTTAACCTTTTAAAATGACCAACATTTTATTAAGAATATAAATAAAATAATAATAAATGGTAGTGTCTGAACTAAAAAAATTATTAGAATCTGATCATTTAAAAAAATTGGATTTTGAAATTAGAACAATACGAATCAAAAATGACAATAACAACATCAACAATATAATAATACTAATAATAATAATAATAATGATGATGAAATTTAAAAAATAATTAAAGTAGCAAATGTGTTGAAAATTTGTTTTGTAAATGGTCGCTTTAAGTTTAAACACAAGTGTAATACATTAAATGCAATAAAAGGAGCACGCGTTAAACAAAAATATTTGTGAATATGTTGCTCACCGTAGTTCATTTGTCCGTGCTTCTCGAGTCACCCGGGTGCTTGTCAGGTTCCCTACTTCTCAGGATATCTTAAATGTATAGTCTTAAAGCTGTTATGATAGAGTCGGCTTTCCTCCCACACAGAAGAATCCAGATAGACATTTCTCGAAGTGAATATTGGCAACGTGTTGTTTTGAACATTTTTCAAGGTACCAAATTCACCTCCTCGTTGCGCCACTCCACACTGGTTTCACGTGTATTCTACATGTCTTATAAAAGGCCCTAATCTAGCCCCATGGCTATGCGGTGCACTCATCTCTTGATACGTTTGGGTATATCAGCTTGAGCACTTGCAGTTTGAGCGTCATGTGGACGAGAGGACAGTTTTAAGGAATTAAGTCCCCGTAAATCCCTCCAGCTACGCAACACAAATGCAAGAGCTCTGCCTGCGTCCGTATTCAACATTTGTTTTCTCCGGATTTATCCCCGGTGTTATATTTGTGAAATAATTAAAGATTAAGTCTGCTGTTTTCTCTTGGGATTGGTAATTATGTCTGAGATTATATAAATAATACTGCTGTTGCCTATGCAACTTTTTTGGAGTGGTACGAATACAAACTTGCATTTATTTACCAGGGGTCACCGCATCTGCACATTCTACATCAAGCAAACAAAAAAAATTCAATTTTTAACGAAAGGAGTGTAAAAACTAAGAAATAGTTCTTCTTTCCACTTTAATCATAACGCTACGAGTTAATGTTACAACATAAACTGACATTGCTTGCACTGTGAGAGATGAGAATGCGCTCCGCCAGGGCCTCGCTCTCATTGGCTGGAGAGTTTGCATCAAAAAGTAGCTGTCGACATTTGTTTCCCTGCAAAGGGCCCTGCGAGAGAAACAGACTCCAGTCCTGAGCTCTTCATTGGCCAGCGCGCTGTACAAATCAGACTCCAGCAACTTCAACCCAGAAGAGCAGCGAATCATAACCGTATGTGCTTTAATCTCTCAAAACCATTTTATCCATTCTTCGTGTTTAGCAGTAGACGCTTCATCATAGCTCATTTGCTTCACGGTTTGAAGAAAAGGATATTATCCTGATGTTATGAATATTTTTCTAATAATTTAGAGCTGTATTCGCTATCGGACATCAAACTTTAACGGGCATCGGATTGAATCCAGTTATTCAGTAAGTATCCCGCCTTATGTTGTTGGGTATGTTTTCTTTATTACGCCTTAAACTTTGCGAATAGTAGACTATAACTATTTTTATTATTTTTATTGACACTATATAATCATCGTCACCATGATTAATTGGTGAATTAACCTTCTTTACAATCTAAGCATCTTTTTTTTATGGCTCAAACGTTTTTTAAGCTATTAAAAGATCGGCAAACGAGTCATTGTATATATTAATATAGGCCTAGTGTAAAAAAAAAGTCTATAATATCGACTTAATATCGATAGCTATTTACTGAGACATTTTGACTTGTAGATGCATGTTCATTTTAAACAATTTTAGTCCACGGCTATAACTGATTGATTTTATCGCTCATTTCATTCGTTTAGAGAATAATGAACGAACAAAATAGATAATTCAATATAGTTAGCCTATTTTATTTTTAATATCAATTATAAACGTCAAGCTATACAAAAACAGGCCGCATTTATATTGTCTTTACCTGCCGCTTGATTTATATTGTTCAAACACAAATGTGATATTTATAGTCTTAATGTCTTTTGTTTAATTTTAGCAGTTTATGTATCATGTCAGAGACACCGGTACCATTGAAGTGTATGAGAAAGCATGTGTGTGCGAGCGCGCACGCGTGTGTGATTTTTATTGTAGTCATGCACAGAATCAATGAGGCCAAACGTTCAGCTGAAGAGGTAGCGTCCAGTAATTAGGGGAGCGCGTGCCACACGGATTATCTCGTTAATTTATCAACAACAACATTTATCATAATTAATTCTTGGATGAGGTAATTACTATTGAGCGGCTGTGCAACTGGTAGACGGTGACTGTTTTAAGTGACAGATTGGGAGGCGAAACCGTTGGATAAAAAAAATAGATTTTTGCATAATAAGCCAGAAGTTTTTTTTATTTTATTTTTTTATAATAATTCCAACATTTATTCAGACTGGATTGTCTTTTGGGTGACGCTGAACTTATGTTCACCTAAAGTTTTGCTTGTTGACTCAATAACCTTTTTTAAGAAACTCAATTTTGTTAGTTTGATAGTTTTTTTTTCTTTAAATGTTATAACATCTAATAAGTTTTCGTTCAGTAAATTTGCTTTGGTGGTTATTATTACTATTACTATTATTATTCTAATACATTAATATCTAAAGTAATTACACCACATCAGCTAAACATCTACAGTTTATCAAGTTACAAAATGTTTGATGAAACACTGAAAAGATTAAAGTTGAGTCAATAATTTGACTCTTAGTTAAAACTAACAGAGTTAATTTCTGAAAACTACTAAAACATAATTATAAGTTTATTGTTCTGACTAATGTGAGCGAGTATATGAGGAGAGGTTACTTTTGTCCCTCTCCAATGGAGCTTTTGTTATCAGCATTAGTTATCAGGCTAACAGTGGCCTTTGTTTCCACCAATAGCTCCCAATCAGTGCTTGTATGCCTGAGACAATTAGCCGGGTTCCTATGCAAATTGTGTTTCTGGCTTGTGTGCACATTTGAACGACGGAGTTTTGTCTTTGTGAAAACTTGTTGCAATTAATGGATGTTACTTTTTTGGGTCTGGTGGGGAGAGGGGAGGAAGGGGAGGGACGGGGGGCGTTTGTCAAGATGAGCTGCGTTCATCTCATGAGGACAGCTGGAGGTCTGGAGCGGCTTTAAGAGCACGTTGCGGTGTAGATGTGCTCTATTCGCCGATAAGTCATCGCAGCTAAAGGAACCCAGTTTCCGTCAAATGACAAACGCCGAACATACAATTTGCGTCGCCGCAATTACGTGAACGTCTCTCTTTTATCTGTGTCATTTTTCAGGGTTTTTAGTTTTACCTCCACCGCTGAAGACGCAAACAAGCTAAAGCAGAAGTGCGCTAAGGAAAAGAGACCGAAGCAGCCGGTTTCCAGCTTTCCGAAATTTCTCCAACTTTACCCCCCACAACCATCTTTAGCATGATGTCGTATCTCAAGCAACCACCTTACACGGTCAACGGGCTAAGTTTAACTACCTCCGGGATGGATCTTCTGCACCCCTCCGTTGGATACCCAGGTGAGCAAAGCTTCCGATTTTAGCATTTTATGTATATTATGTCAATTGCAATGCAATTTGTATTCAACAGTAATGCTTTTTTAGATTCAGGTATATGTAGTAAGAATTTTGCTATATGTGCTTAAATGTATATACTAGGCCTGGTTGCTATCCTTGCTATAATCCCACATTTACACTTCCGAGGCTTCTTAAAATTAAAGTTATTATTAAACATAGTTGCTTGCACAATTATGAGACGGTTCTATTCTTTTCAAATAGAGTTTGAGTAAACTAATATATAATTTCAAATTGTAAAAACTGTAAACCTTAAAACACAGCAATTGGTAAATTAAAATTGTGTTTATTCTAATATATTTATTCTAAAAACATGCCTACACAGTTTTTATTTAAAGTGCAGCAACAAAAAGTAAAAGACTTAAAGAATATTTTGAATGAAACTTTCATTAAATAAAACAATTTTTAACATATTGTATGTACAATTCAACATTGTATAACATGTTGTACTGTGCCGATTCAGATATGTTAATGTGTAATATTTATAGTATTTTTTACATTTAATAATTAAATCTAAGCATGGACGTTTTTTATTAAATGACAACCTGTGATGCTTTTGTTTATTTAAAACAGCGACTCCTCGAAAGCAGAGACGAGAAAGGACAACATTTACTAGAGCGCAACTAGATGTGCTGGAGGCTTTATTCGCGAAAACACGCTACCCGGATATTTTCATGCGCGAGGAGGTGGCCTTGAAAATCAACTTGCCGGAGTCCCGTGTACAGGTACGCATCTTTCAACTCATGAGAAAGTTAAATAATTATAATAATAATAAAAGTATTGTATCTATATGAACTGAGCGATGCACTAAAATATTATCAATATCACATTTGTTTTATTTTGAGCGAAGACCAAACAGAGCATATATAAAGACCATAGTGCTGCCGTTAGTTCACGTCGTAAATAATAAAAACCCCTTTTTTTCAACACATCAGGTTTGGTTCAAAAACCGAAGGGCAAAGTGTCGCCAACAGCAGCAACAACAACAAAACGGAGGCCAGAACAAGGTGCGACCTGCCAAAAAGAAGAGCTCTCCAGCGCGGGAGGCCAGTTCTGAGAGCGGGGCGAGTGGCCAGTTCACCCCGCCCTCCAGCACTTCAGTCCCGGCCATCTCTACCACAACCGCTCCGGTGTCTATTTGGAGCCCAGCCTCTATCTCGCCGCTGTCAGACCCACTTTCTACCTCCTCCTCCTGCATGCAAAGATCCTACCCCATGACCTACACTCAAGCGTCTGGATATAGCCAGGGCTATGCTGGTTCCACTTCCTACTTTGGGGGTATGGACTGCGGCTCATACTTGACGCCCATGCACCATCAGCTGACCGGGCCGGGATCCACTTTGAGCCCCATGAGCAGCAACGCTGTCACCAGTCACCTAAATCAGTCCCCCGCGTCCCTCCCCACACAAGGTTACGGTGCCTCGGGGCTCGGCTTCAACTCCACCGCGGATTGCTTGGATTATAAGGACCAAGCGTCCTCATGGAAACTGAACTTCAATGCTGACTGCTTGGATTACAAAGATCAGACTTCCTCCTGGAAATTCCAAGTGTTGTGAAACTAAAAACCATCTACCACTCTGTCCAACCAACACACTAAAAGACCATAAAATAAACGTTGTAGACCTGCCATCCTTCCAATAACAGAAGTGTTCCGTGACGCGCGAACTCTCCCAGATGGATGGGTTGCATTAAGCCCAAGAGCGCTTGTGAAGTTTGAAGTCTTTGACATGAAATATCTATTTGAGCTACACGCAACCCTTGCTGGCGTGCAGAGTAGTTTTTGAAGGGTCGTGAATGCGTATAAACATAGGCCATTTGACCACAACCTGTTGTTAAAGGTGCAGGGAATCAAAGTGAATTTGTAATAAGTTAGGTCAAAGCCACGGAACAAATCCTTACACAAGAAAAGAGGAGAAAAAACTACACAGCAAAAGGAGCCAATCTTTTGGTTAAGTGCTTGGAATGGGCAGGCTTTCTCTAAGCCTCTTACAGCACGCCGACCTATTTCAATGTTGGCAAGACGAGAGACACTTCCATCAGGAGGATGATAGAGAGGATGTGTGCGAGTGTACGTGTGTGCGTGCGTGTGTGTGTGCTGAACGCCCCCATGGCGACCTGGATGCACTACTTTATTTAAGAAAAGGTGTTTATAAGGAATCAATATGTAGTTTTTAAAGACAATCAATGTGTGTCTTATATAAATGGTACATTTGTGTTTTTTATCTGTGCTAGCCTTCGAAACTGTGATCTGTTGTAACTGTATGCAATTTGTGAGCTCCGTCGCATCTGCGAAGACTCGGCTGTGATTTTAATAGATTTTAAACTTTTTTTTTTGGTTTGGATTTGTTTAAGAAAACACGACAGTAAATAATACTAGTCATATGATTGCTATTGGATTAATTTCAAGAGACAAACTATCTCGGAAACACAGGGACTCAAGAGAATGTGTAAGAAAGGAAC